AAGAGAGAAAATTACACTGTCACATCACGTAGGTTCTATTGTTAACAGCGCATTGTTTCACATATATATCTGTATCGCGTAGGCGATACAGACACTCGGCTGCTTTTGTCACTCGACGTTTTAAGGATTTATCGACTGCGATTATTTCCGGGCCGAAGAGTTTACAGATAAAACCATCACCGCCATTCAAGGACGCGCCTATTCCCGGCATCAATATATTCGCTCACCGCCATATGGCAATTCGAATAGGCTGTAAGAATCGTAGGCAATTGTCAGCGATACATATCGATCGCGTGTCCAACTCGGCGATCCATCCTAGACGCGCAGCATCCGGGATCACAGCGTAGAACCTGCATTCTCGATCGTTCCTCGGAGACCTGCTGTGCGAAGTGCGAAGTAGTTTCTCGCGGAGAGCACACGATCGCACGAGATTACGGGCTGCGATTATCGCGTCGTCACGGTTCGTCGACGGTCCTTCGCCACACAGACAACAAATTTAATTCCAGTACCCTTACCTCTTCCTCGAAAGACGCCAGAGTAAATGTAACGCCGTACGAACGAGGAAAAAATTTCACGCGAGCAAACGCGAGATGAGAGCTTCGTACACGGACGCTTAATGTCGGCAACTATCTATATATAGCATGCGCATGATGCGCATACGCTCGGCGTCATAAAATGTCTTCCGCATGAGGTTACACCAATTTTGGGCGTATGTAACACTAAGCATGCGCATCGTACCTAGGATATTGACGCGTCGTAACTGTGATCACAATCGAGGAAACGGTTTTGTCTTCTATCGCGAAGCACGGCTTCAAAGTGACAGCTTCGCACGTTGCAATTAAAAAATTAATTAAGGTTATGTGCGATTAAAAACGAAAGCGCATTTACCTAGCGTCAGTAAACTATCGATTGTCAGTAGATTATCGACTGGTCGATAAATCGAGATAAATCTTGCAATGTCAATAATCGCTTTTGGGTGTATTTAATTTTTCCTAATTTTTCGTAATTAGAGTAAAATGTGATGAAAACTAGTGCGACCTCCTTGCCGATTATGTTCTCCTGATACTTTATCAATTTTCGTTATTTCTGTCTTAAAATCTTTAAACTCTTAAAATTCTCGAAATTGTAATACTTGGAATTCAAATTTAATTTTCAATTTTAGTTTAGCGTGCGGGGAAAGGCAGAGAAGCATATATATATTTACAGGACAGATAACCGGTATGTTTTGCATTATTAAAATACAGATTTGATTATATTTTTGTAAATTACAAAATATATATTATTAATGACTATACACGCTTAAATTATTGATTACTTTCTCTTTCGTTGGTTTACAGGCTAATTATCAATTACTACGCGTAAGCACGTGACGCGACGCGTCCCATGGAAAGTGGAGTAGTAGCTCTTCCGCTGAAGCACCGAACACGGCGATTGTGACGCCGCTGCTCCGTTTTACCCTTATCTGTCAGAAGTGACAAATCCAAGACCCCGGATCGAGACAGTCGATCGTCAGACGTATAGGTAGCTCCCGCGAGATTCGGGCGACGCAATGGCGCACTGGTTTCACCGCAACGTGCTGAAAGCGACGTACGCAAATCAGAATTTCGAGTTGAAAATCTCTAATCCTACGGACGCCACCAGGAAGCTTTGCAGGTTAACAGATTTCTGATATAAATCACATACTGCGCATTTCACGGTCACCACTTGATGATTTTTTTAATTAGTTATCGGAAGCTGTGATATCTGATAACTCTGCAATGCGAATATATATAATTATCAGAACCCACTGACATTTGCATTGTAATACATTAATTATGCTGGCTATTGGATTGTCAGTTTCGCATTTCTTTCTTACACCTAAGATTCTGCTTTTCTCTTCGAAAAAATACAAGTTCCAATATTGTCAAGAGACATTTGTGTTTTCAGTGACATAAAGCTGTCAAGAGCCAGGCTTCTCGACCTGCTCAGAAATCCAAACAATACCAGCGATTCGATAGAGCCTGCGTTTCTCAGTTACCTAAGTTTGTTGTATGGATTTCTATGGGAAATCAACCCGTCCGAGGAAGAAGCGCAGCATGTCGGCAGACCTAATCCCAGCAAGCTCAGAAATGTTCTCGTGTTCAAATGGACGCACACGTTGCTTGGCTGTGGCACATTGTAATCAATTATAAAAAGAATCTTTATATAAGAAGTAATTCTGAGACGGTCTCTGAAAGATTTCATTAAAAATTTTTTGTTAAAGTTCTAGCGCTGACTCGGTTTACGAAGCAGCTAACATGAGCGTCAATGTAGGCCTTTGGTTTATGAAGCATGCGGCGATGATTGCTGCAAAAGATGAGTAAGTATGAATTAAAAAGAAACGTTTTAAAATAATCCTCAATATGCATTAACTAATTATAATATACGTATCATAATTATAGCATAACAATGGACGAAGCTAAGGAAGTGCACAGTATGCTAAGACGGGCCGCCGGAATATTTACTTTTGTGCAGACCGAATTTTTGCCACAGTTGGCTAATCCACCGCCTTTGGGAAGTGACTTGGACCCTCGTGTACTAAATGCATATGTTAATCAATGCACAGCGGAAGCGCAAGAAGGTTGTACTTACGCGAGAATGTGATTTCAACGAGTTTAATTGTGCTTACATACCTCTTCGTCATTTTTTTTTTACAGTGACAGTTGCTAGAGCGGTAGAACTGAAACACAATTCTAGTTTGATATCAGCTTTAGCCAATGAGACTAGTAAGTTGTTTCTGGACGCTGCCAATACTCTTCGTCCATTCAAACCAGAAATATCTGCTCAATGGATAAAATATCTGGAGCTTAAAGCAGCATTTTATCAATCTTACGTAAGTTCACAAGTTTGTAAAGATCGATGTTACAATTAGTTACAAGTGCGAGCGAGAATTATGTTAACTTACTCACGCTCCAATTTCTCCAGGCTTATAATTATTGCGGTGAAAACTTGTTGGCAATGGATAAATGCGGCGAAGCGATACGAGCGATGCAGGAAAGCGATTTGTGTTTAAAGAAGGCGAAAGCGCTCTGTCAGGAATATGGGAAAACGAACGGGCCTGCGCCTCGCGTTAAACCGGATCAACACGCCGTGTTTAAACGCTTGGCGCCTATAGTGAAGCTTACTCTCGATAAGTGTAATCGAGAAAACGGTTTGATGTAATTATCTCGTTTGAATTTATTATTATTTTAACGTGGCGCATCAATTTTAAAATGTATGACGTTTAAACAGTGCATTAATCCGGGTTTAAATTATTAGATACCATCATACAGTACCGGGAGAAATTCCAGTCTTAGATACCAAGGCTACTTACGGCTTGGTCAGTCCGATCGACTTCCAAATGCCGTCACCAAATCATATCTGGAATTTGGGCACATACAGCGTACTAGCTGGGGTAGCGGCGGCGAAAGCGGGAAAGGAGCACAATTTGCCGCCGGTTAAAGAAGAGGCGATTCATCAAAGCAGCAAGGAGCCGAAAAACGCAAGCGGTTGTACGCTACAATAAGGCTCTCTACGTGCAACGATATAGGCCGTTTGTAAATGCTTTCTTTTTTCGTCACGGTGATATTAATTTTAATTGCGATAGACATGTGTGGACGGCGTTCGGAGTTAGACATACGTGTGTCACGCGCACACAAGTACAAATCCCGTTGTGTGGAACGTAAAGTATTAACTATTAGATTAAAAAAGAGAAATACAGAGTAATTATCTATTATTACGAAAACGCATTTCACTGACAATGAGTATTAAATACCGCGTCACGCAACGGATAGATAAATGACTGCAAAAGAAAGATTAATCTAACCGATTCTAACGTATCAGTGTACATCTGCATCGTTCTACACATGTCCGAATCCTTTTAGCGGGCGACTTTTACGTTTGCGAAATAACATATGTGATGCGATTCGTAATTTGCTTTTATCGTACGTAATCAATACTATGGCTACTATTGTAGATACAAGTGATTCCTTGCTCAAGGCAAAGAATTGTTGATGTCGCAGACATTACTTTAATCGCTTTGTTCGACCTAGTCAATGCTTTAGAGTGAAACTAAATTTTTTAATCGGTAATGCGAGGGAGAAAATTCTCGCAAGCAATGTGCATATAATGCACATTACCAGTATGCATATATTATAACAGAGACGTATGCAATCTTTTTCTACATATTTTTTATAAGCTATAGGTTTAAATCCAGAATGTTCAATTCAGATTATAAAGATATTATATATATATATATAAACAAAGTGTCTCAAAAACAAATGTTAAACTAATGCCAAGCATTAGTTATTGGTAAATGATAGCAATTATCTCTGTTAATAATTATTATTTGTGATATGTAAAGCATTTTTATATATATATGTATACATGACCAGTGCGTTAACTATTGAAATTAAAAACTTACAGGTCGCCGCACTTGATATTGGCTTTCGGAAATTATTTATGTATACACGCGATAAGAAATTTTGTTAGCTGTTAAATATTTAAGAAAATAATTTTTGTGTGCAATATATTATCAATGAAATCAGTGTAGCAATATCTTATCTATATAACATAGATTAATAAAGAGTATTAAATATATCACAGTCTGTAAGGATCATATTTGACATTCAAACATATTTTTCATATAACAATAACTACACATAAAATATAAATATCTAAATGTACGACCTGCATGTGCATTAAAATAAAATATATAAATACTAACATCGATAAATAAAACAGAAAACTTAACATTTATGCTACTTGATTCGAATTTAAAATGTCAGCAATGCTGTGGATCTCGACGAGTTATTGGAAGTTTTAATTGGCTGCCGGATGGAGAATTTGTGGAGTTGCTCCAGGAGTTTCTAGAGACTCTCCGTCCGACGGCCAATCGGCCGGCACCGATGAAGCCAGGTTGGGCGATATTGTCCAATTGGTCTCCACAACAGCTCCATTGCTCCATTCGTATGCCCGCACGCACCTAACCTGACCCCGGCCCGACCATGGCAATATTGGCAATATGGCATTCGATCGGATCGCGATACGGACGGGACGCGCGAATCGTCCGCTGCTCCTGCTGTCCTGAAATTAACGATGACGCGCGGCTACGTCTACGCGGTGATGAAATAGCGAACGTCGTCTACGCGGTGAGGAGACACGTCGGTGGCAGTGAAACCCGGACGCGAGGATGCCGATGTCGGCGGGTCGACGCGGTGACTAGATCCGCCGAGATGGAGTAGACTTTGCGTACGCGTGAAAACGTAAATACACCCGTGACGAAGCACCCGTCTCGAGAACATCAAGGTCGGTGCGCGGTCTCTTCCTCGTCGCCGAGTCGAGAGGTAAGAGAAGGCGCCTGACACCGTCGTCGATTATCCGACGAATCTCGGCAAGGTAACGAACGTTCCGCTGTACAACCTTCAACGACAACATCGGTGATCGGATTGCATATATACTTTGCTCGCGATGACGGCAATACTTGCGTGGTCGATAAAGCGGATCTATGCTCGCGCCGCTCTTTCATTAATTATTAATAATATGTAAATATCAAAACGTGTAACTCGATGAAGAACCATAAATTACATGCAAAGTTAATCGTTAGAGATTTGTTAAATTTTATTAGAGATATATCTTCCGTTTCATAAAGTTTCCATTCTATTGATATTCCTGTACGTAAACAATCTAATTTCGTCCTTAACGAACATTCAGTATTTACATAAAAATGAATAAATATTGATTATAATTTTTCTGTTCCGTTCAAATCTCGTATACCTACGTTGAATTGTTAATGCTGGACAGTTCCAAGTCCTTAAATGCTCTTAACCTTTAAGCGTCTGAAATTTTTTCTTAACACTTGGCAATTGCCACCCTATTTCCTAAGCAGAGCAAGAAATAAAAATGGAGGAGAAACACGGCAGTAGAGATGCGCTAGAGGAGGACCTGGTAGACACTGAAAACATAATAATTAACGAAGTGGATGGCCTACCAAACCTGCATCCAAACTACGGACAGCTAGAACTCAAATTCAAGAGAGAAAGAGACGACTCAAATATTAGATCGATCGACGAGTTGGTTAACGACGAGGATCTACCGACTTCTGTAATCGTTACAAACGTAGACCCTCGAGTTTTTAGGTGCGACGATCTGAAGGTAATAAACATTTAGTATGAGATACCAAAGTAATGGAACCTCTGTTACATTAATACATTGTGCAATGCTGCGTCTTTACAGTCGGCCATAGAGAATCTTTTCAAACAGTTTGGAGAGGACGCTACGTTTCAATACTTTAGATCTTTCAGAAGAATGAGGGTAAACTACGATTCTCCCGGTGCTGCGGCAAACGCGAGGATACAGCTGCATCAATCGCATTTTGGAGAAACCGATATTAATTGTTACTTTGCGCAACCAGTGACGCCTATAGGTTCGTAATTATCGTGGGATTCTAGAATTAAGTGTGTCGTCACATTGAAGAAATTAATCAAGCGTAGGAAATTCACGAAAAAGGACAGTTTCTAATTCGCAAGTCAATTAACTTGTAGACATGGAGGATCAGCATCTTCAACCGCCCGCGCTTACCAAACAGTTCCTCATATCTCCTCCTGCTTCTCCGCCGGTCGGTTGGCATCCACGTGAGGAAGGAGAGCCGCTCGTTAATTACGATCTGTTAGCCGCTATAGCCAATTTATCCGCAGGTTACTATTGACCCAAATGATATTATTTTAAACTTACACCGATTTCGTATTTTACATAAACCGTTATTAATGTTGCAGGCGGGACACACGAGATACATCCAGGAGGGTCGGGGCAGCCGGGCATAGTTGTGCACGTTTGCGAGAACGCGAATCCGACGAAAAGTACGACTCGCATTCAACACACGCGATGTCCCGAACAGTAATTCCCTCTCTTTAATTCCCGCGTCTCGGATTTCTCACACGATACGTTTTTATGCCCTGTTAAAAAGCCAGATACGAATTGGCAAAAGGGCACTCTAGCGAGTGACTTCAAATTAGTGTTAAATTGGAGTTGCAATTCAAAACTGATTGCGCGGCTAATATCCAATTGACGAAAGTAATATGTTGTGAAAAAATTACAGCTCGATATACGGTACAGATAACGGCGCGATGTCTGGTATTTAGCAAGCTTCCCGCGGATAGCAGTGATCTATAAATACTAACAATCTATATATAAATATCCGTTGTTATATACCGATCAAGATATAACATTTATTTGCGTTTATCCATTGAGAATTCGTGAAGGGTATGGTTGCGCTCCATTTCTTAAAATCTACATGGTTCATGTTTGGCCTATATTGTTTCTACGTTTCACTCAGTGTTAATAATTGCATATCGTGAGGAATTACGTCCGATCTGATTAAGCTAACGATTAATGCGTCGACGACAAAAATCGTTGGAAATGTATTATGAGATTTTGCAATTCTACCTCTCATTGTCAATGTGTTACTTGTATTCTTAAACAGCACGTAATGCATAACAATCTTGTTGTAAATCCACGAATGATACTATATACTTAGAATAATCGATGAAATCAAAAAGTTCAAGTTTGTCAGTTTTCTTTCGTTATTTATTTTCATATATTTCTCTTTCCGTTTTAAGAACGCTTTCAAAATTATATCTATCAAATCTCTGGTTTTGTGTTTTGCGTGCATGCGAGAAGAAATCTACGGAAATATATGGCATTAATATGTATGTGATATGTATGTGTATACGAATGTATTATTAGAAAAATATCGTGTGGCTCTTCGTTCTGTGTTTTCCGTAGAAAGCTAGCTCACATTAGCTATAAACGTTAAATGCTATCCTAAAGCTAATATCTCTATGGTCTCTTGTTAATGAAGTTTACGAAAACTCATTGTTATTATTCTGGTCTTGAAGAGAATCAAGTTAGTAAAGAAATAAGCTAGAGGAGATATCGAGATGTACGTGGTCATATCAGCGTTACTGATTTATGCCGAGGCAGTGTGGTGATTGTGTATATGTATATATTGTTCTGTACGCGAAACGTATATATTTCCTGCAAGAGATCTGATACCTACAAATAATTGTTGAATATTTATAAATACTTTATAGCAGCACTTACTTTTGTATAGTGTGGTTACCGTTTACATTGTCCCGGCGATGAAATGGTGTAAATCCGTTTCGTCTCATTTAGTTTCTTTCTTTATCGAACAAATTCCGAACATCTTAAATACAAATAATGCGAATAATTATTACACTAGAGAAAATAATGTACAAATAATTTGTATCAAAGAGAAAAAATATAAATATAAATTATTTTACGTTAAAATTCTGATATATATATTATATACGTATTATATGTAGCCTGATGTAAGCGCTACTTGTTGCCGCGTGAAATTTATTGCGTTTATCTGCATAATAATAATAATAGTAGGTAAAATAAAAATCGATTCGATAAGGACGTATTGTACACAGTTATGAAATACTCTGTCGTTTAATTCATTGAGATTTTATACCATTACACTCGTCTTTCACTTATTGAAGTTATATAAAAGCTTTATACATATAACCGTCGTTATTATTTGCTTAAATAACTATTTTTTCCGACTTGTTCCGACGATTCGAATCATCGTGACTGTTCCAGATGTAGAAAAATCATCGTACAAATACACACACATTTCTATCACTGTTAAAATCAAGTTTGGTGTTGCGAGGTATATATGCATTAAAGTATTGTAGGCCATTAGACGACGTTATTCGTCGGGCTTTTAATGTGTTTGAAAATGAAAATTATGACCATCCTTCGAACGCCGTCCGCGAAATTTAATTATAAATTCTAGGGCTAAATCAAAAATGTGCTACTACCATGTAGAGAATGTTCGAACGAATGTTTTGCAGTAGTTCACATCTAATTAGTGACGAGCAAATCCGTATGTAAAATATTATATTCAAGTATATGCGAATTTTTATTGTTTACGATTGAATTTAATGCAATGTACATATATACGTGCACTGTCGTTCAGATTGTGCAAGGATCGATGTTTTTAGTGCCAAATTGTTGCTGTGTGTCGATAATGTACAACACGGAGGCTTTTGATAAATTTAGTTAAAGTACGGATTCTCGAGGAAAAAAATATATAAAAACATTTCAAGAATTTTTTTTAGCGAAGTATAAACGATTAAAGTAGTGATAATGCCATCGATGTATATACATATATAACTCCCCTTTTAATTTAATCCACTTTCTCTTCTCTAATTAGATTAATATAGATCAATGCCAAAATAAACGATAAATGCTAGTTTCATCGTAGTACAATATTGTACATCTTTCTTATTATTATTGCGACACTTTCTCCAGTTTTGTTATACATTTCACTTTATTCACGTATAATAGTCAGCAATTGTCAAGTGGAGATGATTGCAACTTGTCCTATCGACTTCTTATCTCACTGATCTCAAGACTGAATGCAGCAGTACATCGTCCTTTCTTTCTTTCCACTGAACTGTAAGAAAACAGGTGAAACATAATCGCACCAATGCGATGGACTCGAACGTATCCTCACACATGAGAAAACTAAATCCTTTTTTTTGTTTATAAAAATATAATATTAACCACAGAGCTCGAACAATCTCGCATGTATATATAATCCCGTGTTATGCCATATACACAAACGTATTAATGTCATCGTCGTGTCTCCGAATATATTTGTGTTCAATGAGCCATTCAATCTGTTCCTTTATCATCTTTTTACTCGGCAAGAACATATTTTTCAATATATCCACTAGTTCGGTCTGTAACTGCGCATTAGTGATCTTCTTGCGCATCTTTAAGATCTTGATGATAGCTTCCTATAGTCACACAAAAGATAATTATTCATAGCCACCAATTAAAATGTCGATAGATATTTTTCTATGTGTTATGTCACATTACTTCACGTAAATGTTTACTATACCTGAACCCGTAATATTCTGAGTTGTACAATAGATTGGTTATCCTCTTCTCTGCTACGTTCCGTTGATAATTGAAGACGTCCTATCAAATTAATTTTCCCCCGCTTTTGCATCTTGCCATTTTTTCTAATGTAGAAATATCACAATTAGTAATTACAATAATAATTTAATGAATACTAAACTCAGAAACGAGATAATTATTATCAAACCAAACGAATATACAACGCGCATTGTGTGACGCACATCTTGTACAAAAAATAAATACTAACACTATAGCGAATTCTTGATTAACCCAAAATCTTGTATCGTTCGCAAAATCTTTCGGGGTAGTGGCATGCGGTTCCACCAAAAGAAGTTGCCGTTTTAACTTCGGGAAGGCACACAAAGACCACAGAGTTCGTCTCAACTCGGGATCCGGAAGCTCGGTCGCCAACCGGAGATTCTCGTAAGAGATCTTTTCGTTGGGTCGTTGATTCCAAGCGAACAACACCGCCATTTGGAAGGTCGTTACATCTATATCGAAGCGTCCCACTTTATTCGCAAATGTTATCTGAAACGTCCACACCATGAAATATGCATTAAAAGTTAGGATCAACATGTTTTGGAGTATTATACGAGCACGGATAGAATTTTGTTAATGTATTAAGTACCGTGCCATTCGACATATGATGATGCCATTGCAACTTCCTGCCACTATGCTTTTTTTTATAAAATTCTTCGACCTCCGGAATATAATCTTCCAACTGAAGCGGCAAACTCACGGTGACGCGTTCGCTACCCCTGGCCCATGCGCCTGCGTTGAGAATCTTCAAGAAATATAGCAGATTAATATATTTTAAAATATCTTTATACACGTATACCTTTTACATATCTTTCCTATTTCTTTTCAATATCGATCTTAAAGAAAAACATATACGTTTGCAAAAAAACGACATGTATAACTACCTTGATATTTATACTATCTGCAATAGTAGCTCGACATTGTTCTTTAAATTGTTGATTCAGGTCCTGAGATACTTTAATATCTTGGAACATACGGGCTAATTTATTAACAAAGTCCGCGGGCATGCCGACTTCACGAAGCATGTCTACCATATTTTCTTCTTTTTCCGAATCCGTTGTCGTATCTAATATTAACCGTCTAGTTAAATGCGCCTTGTGATAACGCATAAACACATCCTTATTTTGAACGTATTTTAGCACCAACAGCTAAAATAAAATGTGATACAGAATAAATTTTATCAGAAAAGATTTGGTTTCTAATCCATATGGATATAATTATCTTATTGCGTATACTGACCACATCCTTCAATTTACTTTCGATTTCATCAGTAGTTAATTTCTTACTGAGCGGCGTTTTTCTAAGAAGCATATCACAGAAATTCGCTAAGAGTTCCGGACACTTCGATTCGGCTAGTCCGTTATTATTAGTAATAGGTCTATTATTTAAAACGGACGCGCCACCGATTCCAGAGCCCTGCCGAGTAGGCAATTCTAATTTAAATACCGTGGCGTCATTCACAACGAGCTTATAAGCTTTATCTCGTGCTGTAAGAAACCGCGGATCATCATCGAACGCATCTTTAACAAGCGTGGAAAATCTATGGAAAAGATCTAACAGTCTTTCCACGTATTTCTCGGAATCTTGAGTGATAACGTCTACAGCTGCCATCATATCCGCTAGACCTGCGTTCGAGATATGGTCTTCCAAATTTTTCAACATAGGATTGACGCCGTCGGGCACTCTATCCATTAACTTCAGCATGAGGCGAAGTTCTACAATTATTCGCTTTCATTAATAAGCGCCAATTACAGAGGTGACATCGTAAACCGAGACTCATTAAAGTTACATATATTGTGAAATTACGAAGAAAGCGATTACTTACTGTCAGTTTGATTATTTTGAATCATTTGCGGACATTCCGCGAGTATCGCTAACGTGTGGGTCGCGACCAACACTTTCACGCAACAATCCGTTAATCGTTGCATACTCGTCGGTTCCAAGTACTTCTGAGCGCGCGCCTCCTCCTCTCTCAACTTCGAATCGGCGTAACGCATATAATTTTCTACACCGTGCAGACTCAGATAATCTCCCGCTTTCATCTTGTAAAACTCATCGGTGGCGTTTACATACGCCGTCTCGAAATTCTCTCTATATATCTGGAGCTTATCCGACGAATTTGAACACAAATTCACTGAAACATTATAACACTGTATTATTAACAAAAATATTTTACTACACATAAAAACTTGTGGATGTTTTTTATTACCATAAGATTCTCTAACGCCGATAACTAGTTGAGAATCAAACGCCTCGCCGTTTCTCTCGGCTCGCACTAATCTCATGGCTGCATCCTGAAGTTTTTGTTTTATTTCATTGAATATACTTTGGTTCCAACTGTCCAACATTAGCTGTATAACAGAAAGAAGATCAAGCAATATTACAAGACATTACATCACGTATCATAAGGTTTTTACCTTTCTAACAACATCATCAGGCTGATTCTTCTTCTGTGTAGAAGTCCCTTTTCCGGCGAGGTATGTTTCTAGTTGTCTAAATGGTGTTGGTAAATAGTTACACTGGGTAAAAAACTTCCTCCACTCGGTGATGTATGCTTTCAACAATGCCTGTTCTTCTTGATGCGCTAAAACTCTCTGTAAAAAGTCATAATATTCAATTATTTCAGTGGAACACGTAAAGAAGGCACATCAAAGGCATAGTCTTGAGTTTGGCTCGATAGCAATACTCTCTTGCTCTCTCTCACCTGTTGAGCTTGTTTTATAAAAGCCATTATATCCTCCTTCAGAGCATCGTGTAACTTGGGAGGCCCCTTGTCGTCCCACAGGCATACATGAACGGAATAAAACAGATCCTGCCATTCCCCTTGCGTCACTGGCTCTTGCTTGAGCAGTTTCAGTATGATTGGGCGCATGTACGGCCATTTGTCCTCAAATGTGAATTGTGTCCTATCCTAAATATCAATACTGCGTGTCAGTGACAAACAAAAGAGATAAGTGATAAAGGGGTATTTTAAGACGTGGGGAAAAGGAGCGGAAAATACGAGGCCACGGGAACGACGTTTGATCCGGATATTCGACGTGAACTCGATCAATCGTCGGACCGTCGCAACGTGGGCTGAATCGTCAATGCGATAAAAAAAAAAAAAAAAAAAATCTTTCGAATAGCGATATCGGAGTTGCCGTTTTGCATGGTCGAGACGCGCCCGTTATCGCGGCGGCCTGCGGCGAGATAACGGGCGACCCTCGGTCGGACGAAGCTCCGAGGAGAAAAGCGAGTTTCTCGCTCGTACAAATTTGTTTATTCGACCTCGACGTCGACTAACCTTCAACAACGCCGCCATCACAGTCCACGGACTCTTGACGTGCACGTCCACCAGGATTCGCAGGATCACACGCCAATGGGCACACGCAGTACACACACAAACACACGGGCAGTCTCGCACGAGCCCGCCGGTCGACGGGGGTCCTCGTCGTCGGGAACCGGTGACGAGATTCCGATTATTAGCGCGGTACACGGCGCGGTGTGGGCCGCATCGTGTCACTCGTGTCAGGATCCCGCGATCGCACGCCCCTCTCGACGACTCCCGGAACGTCGTCGTCCTCTCCCCAGAGAGGAAAAATAAATTCGCGTGTGTGTCTCCTGCCGCCCCTGCCGGAATTCCTGCGTACGTAGTACGCCGCGCGATCGCGCGAGAAAAGTCCCTCTCTCGCGCGCGCGGAGCACGTGCCGTCGCAAATCCCTATGCGACGCCTCGCGCGATTGGAAGGATTATGCGGATATTAATATGGCGGTTAAACGAGGTTTCACCAAGTTGTAACCGTACCTCGAGTCTTTATCGTCGTGCTCGAAGACTGAAGCTCGCGTTAACATTTTTTTAATGCGTCACCACCTTTTTTTTCTCGTTTTTTTTAAACTGCTTGTATTTTTTAAGATTCATATCTGCGCACTTATATACATGAGATTTCCATTCCATGCGGGTTAAAAATATATACAAGCGTGTATGAACATGAAAATGTGAAAATAAATGTCTTACAGCGGACAAATGTATCAATATTACATTATTATTTCACTCTTGATGCAGAGATACAAGTAATCGAAAGACCTCGTTGCCGATCTACGCGAGCCTAATTTTTGCAAGACCTCAGAATACTCCTTTTTCTTTTTTTGGTCGAAATACACTTATGGAATATACCTAGCAATATGACGTTAACGTCGCGGGCATGTACATCAAGACGGCACAATAAATAAACACGGAGGCTAATTTAAGAGTGCGCTCGACTTCGAAAGTTGAGTTACTTTTCCAACCTGGACTCCAGGCACGTCTCGATACTCGATATGCCTTAATACGAAATAAAAAAAAAGAACGCTTATATTTATTATGCTTAAATCTCAATGGGATTCACAACAATCGCCTTCCTCTTGTCTTCCTTGTTGTTGTTGTCCTCTTCCTGTTGCTGCAAATCGTCCTGTCCCCTGATTCTGATGTTGTGCTTTTCTTTGTACTCGTTTATCTCAATTCCCTTCTTCGTCACCTGGTCGTTTAAAGTGTCCATCACTTTCATCAACTGAAACATACATTTGAATGTTATCGCAGTGTACCGTAGGTATCCCGACGGTCCGCTCCGAGGAGATAAATGATAGGCAAGTCGCACCTGTTCCTTGTTCGTCACCAGAGCAGGCATCACGTTTTCCACCGTGCGCTCGCACAGAAGCCCGCCGATCATTCTGTAGCACTTCCTCTTGGGATCCACGTTCTTTAACGTGTCGATAACAATTCTAAAACGTCAGTCGTATTAGTGGGGACGGTTCGACGAGGTCGCGTTCTATATTCGCATTGGCGACTCTCGTCTCTCGATCGTATTTCGCGAGGCTAAAAAAAAAAGCACGAGCATCCCGTCGCGGTCGCGGGACGCGTTCTCGATTGTCGAGAGCGAAAGAGGCAAGCGTACAGGTTAGGGTGGACTCATACTTGTGCTCGTTCAACTCCATCTCCATCTCGGACAGTTTGTTCGCCAGGATCCTCTGTTCGTTTCGTAACGACTGGAATTCGGTCAGTATCTCCTCGGCGCTTTTCTCTCTTTTTGACGGCGCCTTCGCCGGTTTTTTTTCGCTGGCCATATTAGGAATTTCGATCGCGGTAATTCCAGTATACAACGGGGTCGGGCTCGGACGACGGAGAGCTGTGCGCAGCGCGGAGTTCAGCGTTCAGCGGAGAGCCAACGGAGAATAACAACTAACAACGTCGGGAGAGCCGTGCGGCAGAACGACGAAACGCGGAGCGCGATATCGCCGAACGCAGAAAAACTCCGCTTCCGCTCTCGAGCGCTCGCGTAGTCCCGCTAGTCCCGGACCGCGCGGCAGGGTTCGCGAGCATCGCGAATCGTGGCGAGTGGTGGCGAGAGGTCGTCACACGGGCCATTTTGGAACATATCTCCGTCATCGAGCAGCTGTGCGCAGGATAATCGTCCGTTTCGTTTCGCCGCGACATGTCAACACTCGCTGCCGTCCGCGCTACGTAGAGTGCGGTGTCGCGAGGTTGATCGTCGAAGCGGCGCGCGTCTGTCCTCGTCGGGGCGAGACGTGGACGCGGATCGCGAAATCGTCGTCGTCGTCATCGTCATCGTCGTCGTCGCGGGTGGTGGCGTGAAACTTGGTCGCCCGCGGGGGGAAACAAAGAGTCCCCGCGATCGCGGAGCGCCTCTCGTCAACCTTGACCCGTTCGTCGACAGCAGTGAGCAACAGTGAGTGTCCCCGTCGTTCCCGTCGACGAAAATAGTCCTCGCCACCTCGGAAACGTTCTCGCTTGACGTTTTAAAAAAGAAAGGCTCGCTCTCCCCGCTCGCCTCGTCGCGTTGACTAATCCGCTGATATATCGCGGACGTATATATACGCGCGCGCGAGGATGCTTGCAACGCAGTACGGTGACGTCGCGTTGCAGTTGCACCTGTGTCATCGTCGTCGCGCTCTTGGCTCCGGATCTCGCGTTTCCTTTGTGTATATGTATACACATGTGTATACATGTGTGCAACTATATATGTAGAAGTTAAATTCGCGACGAATATTTTGGCAATATTTAAAAGTGCAGGCACCATATTTAAACGCAGTTTGGCACGTGAGCTCACGCGATAAATGGCTGTGCTTTCAGATTTTGTGGCCCGTTGAAGATGATGACGCGTGTGCAATAGGAATCTTCCAAGAGTATACTTATCTGTACTTCCAGTGGAAGACGCGAGATTACTGAAATTTATAGCCATGTTTTGCAGTGGTAAAATATTAGCTGAATTAGCTGTGTAAGAGAGGACACGTTGAAATATGCGCTTGCCTGGATTACTTCTATAATCACTTCTATTGTGTATATCCTGTTGGTTAGTACTTATCTACACATGCTTATCTCTTTCCTTTTAAAAGTATGATTTTTCTTTATGAATCATCGTTTTCTCTTGTGCTTAATGTTTCAGTATACATTACGTGGCAAGTTTAAATGAGACAAAATGAGTGGTGAAAGTACGGAAGAAAGCCAGCAGCTACCTCTGGTCCTCGAAGAGATAAATCTCGCTTCGATGCAACCTGTGTTTCCAGACACAAACAAACGATGCGTGGATGTGTGGACAGAGAAGATGAACAAGGGAGTGCTGACGAGTATTAACTTTAGGGAATACTGGCGACTTTGGGTGCCAAAGATATACAGCCCGGAGCGTAACGGCAACTGTCTGGAATGGGTCATCGACGAAGACACGGCGAACAGGATGCTTCTCAGGACCCTGGAGGAATTTATCTGCGGCGGTGATCCGCAAGCGATTCTCAAGGAGCTCAGCATGATGGACAATCCACCGTCCATATGCGGCAGATTGTTCAAGATGGGCGAACCGACGTACAGCTGCAGAGAGTGCGGCATGGACTCTACGTGCGTTCTCTGCGTGGACTGTTTCAAGCAGTCGGCTCATCGAAACCACAAGTACAAAATGGGCACGTCCAGTGGGGGCGGATGCTGCGACTGCGGCGACCCGGAAGCCTGGAAGAAGGAACCGTTCTGCAAGACCCATGTGGCGGGGACGCAGACGAAGGAGTCGCGCGGCAACAAACTGCCTGGTGACATCGCGGAGAGAGCGGTAGTGGCTTTTGAAGCGTTATTGGAATACTGTTACGAATTACTGACTCTGAGGTACACTGTGGCGTTGCCATCGAATCTCTGCATCAGAGACACCGCATTTTACTCGCTCACGCTCGATCAATTGGACATTTTTGATACTTACTGCACCGTGCTCTTCAACGACGAGCATCACACCTTCGATCAGGTGATAAACATGCTCCAGCGCGTTCTCAAGTGCTCGCACAAAGAGGCCGTAGAATATGTGACTAATGTCGACCGGGAGGGCAGAGCCGTGATAAAGTGCTCGATATTTCGGCACTGCAACGAGTTGCGGGGCGACGTCGAGAAATTCACGTACAGGCATAGCAATCGACCGCTCAAGGTGCTCGTCCTTCACACTCACATAGTCGCCCATCAGACGTTCGCTATAAGACTGCTCAATTGGTTGCAACAATTCATAAGTCATTGCGAGGGTTTCCGCGTCCTGTTTAGCAACATCGCTCTCAACACGAAGCTACCTGATATGTCGGTTGTCGAGGGCATACTCACGAGAGATTCGCAACTGTGGAAATCCGCTAGAACAGTGTGGCACAGGTTATTCATTTACGGAATGCTCGTGGAGTACGAGAGCAAAAAGGCGCTTTCCATTGTATTCACAAGTAATTACGCGTCCGTTATGAAGGATTTCATCAAGGACGATCATGATCATTCGTTCTCGATTGTCTCGCTCTCCGTTCAGTTGTTCACCGTCCCGACTCTGGCGCATTTGCTAATCGCGCAGCACGAAGCGCTATTCAACCTCCTGACTACGTTCATATCTGAGAGCTCCCGACGATGTAACGCTACTGGAAAATTGGAGTTTGAGAGAAACATGCCGCACCACAACTTCAAACGGGCGCAATACGTACTTTACGACCTTCGGTACCTGCTGAGCGCAAAACCAGAAGACTGGACGGATGATCTGAGACGTGGTTTCTTACAGGGTCTCTCGCTGTTATTTACTCTTCTTTCCAGTATGCAGTGCATGGACGCGGTACTCCGACAAGTCGGACAACATATGGAATACGAGCCGGAATGGGAGTCGGCGTTCAATCTACATATAAAACTGTCACCAGTCATTACGCAGGCCTTGGAGTGGTGCAGCTCGGACCGCGTGGTGCTGATCAAATCCTTTATGGCGCTTCTGAAAAAACTATATGAACAGCAGGGTATTGAGCAGCCGCCGAGCCAGGTGCGAGAACTGGCGGATCATAGCGCAACGTGCCTGCAATACGATGTGGCGTCCGAACCAGTTTCCATCCATCTGCCGCTCTCGAGATTCCTCGCCGGCCTGTTTCTGCATCTGGAAAAATACAATTTACATTTTCAGTCGCCCGAATTCAACAATCCGATGAAACCGACGCCCGAACAGATCATCGATCCCGTGTTGACGGCGCAGGCCATGATCTCGCAGGTGCACGCGGGCATGTGGCGACGAAACGGCTACTCTCTGCTGAATCAGCTGTACTTCTATCACAATGTCAAGTGCCGCACCGAGATGCTCGATCGGGACATCGTTTTGTTGCAGGTCGGCGCGTCACTGATAGAAAGCAACGAATTCTTGATTCACGTCCTAAACAGGTTTAATCTCTTTAACTGGGTGCAGCCAGATTTCGAGATGAACGCCTTGAAGAATCCGGAAGAGGACAGTATGCGGCAGACGATCAATCTAGTGGAGGAGTTCTTGGGCTTGCTTATCACGATCATCGGCGAGAGATACGTTCCCGGGGTCGGTCAGGTGACCGCGGACGATCGTCTCAAGAAGGAGATCATACAGCAGCTGTGTATAAAGCCTCTCTCACACTCGGAGCTAAGCAAGACGTTACCGGAGGACGTTGTTTACAACGTTCAGAGCGAATTGGAAAGAGTGATACGCGAGGTAGCGGAGTTCAAGAAGCCAGTACATACATCGGCAAAGGGAGTGTACGAACTCAATCCGAACTTGTACTCGGAGTACAACGTATTCTTTTATCATTATACGAAGGAAGAGCACAGCAGATCCGAAGAGGTTCAACGAAAACGCCGGAAAGCTGAGGGAGAACTAGAATGTTGTCCGCCGCCGAAATTGCCTCGACTAACGGAATCGTTCAGTCTGGTGGCGAATCTGTTGCAATGTGACGTTATGCTCCACATCATACAGACTGTGCTGGAACGCGCGCTTAATTTCATAGCTAGGAGTTTCTCCGAACCGCAGGTACACAAGGTATTATATCTGATCGGTTATGCATTGCAGGAACAGGAATCCGGCTACTATCCCTTCCTTGCGTTTCCCGAGCGGGCAGCAAAATGGAAGATCTACAAATTACTGGAGAATCTGACCACCAGCCCGCGCATGGACGCTCACAAGGATCTGCTCACATGGGTCTTGGCGAAGTATCGTCAGGTCGCCAGTTTGAGCGGAAAAGAGACCAGTCCGGCGCCTGTTGTGCTCAAGGAGCAGCAAGCGGGCGATGATGCTAACACCAAGGAAACGGATAAAGAGTGGCGGACGAAAATGGCAGCTCAGAAGCGTGCCAAGATCATGGCGCAAATGGCAGCTATGCAGAAACATTTCATGAAGAAGAATGCCACTCTGTTCGAAGAAGCAAGCTTGGACGCCAATAGCAAAACCAATGATCGTGGTTCTGCCATGGACCTGACGGAGGCCTCTTGTCAGGAAGGTGCCCCAGTTGCCGTCGGCATCGGTCAAACTAGTAGGTTGTGCGAGCAGAAAGTGTACACGTGCATTCTGTGCCAAGAGGATCAGAGCGTGACGGAAATCGGTGCGGCAATGGTGTTAGCCGCGTTTGTTCAGCAATCTACCGTGTTGTGCCAACGGCACGGCGACTTTGAAGAACCTGATGCGCTGTATCTCTCGGCAAAATTAGGCATGTCGCCGCACGTTAACACATGCGGCCACGTGATGCACTCTCGCTGCTGGCAGGATTATGTCGACCTCGTGCTCGCCAAGGAGAATCGGCGACCCTATAGATCACGACAACAGGCTAGCTTTGACGCTGACAACCATGAGTATCTCTGCCCGCTGTGCGAGTGTCTCTGTAACACCGTTCTTCTGCTCGTACCGCCCTTAGGAATGATGCAACCAACCCCGGAGCCTCAGCCGGATATTACTTTCGAAACGTGGCTGAAGGTAATGTCGCTCACAATGGAATGCAAGCCGAACAGGAAATTTGGCAAGATCATAGAGAAAGAGAAAGATGAGGATAATCGATTGGAAGTGAGGATAGTCAATCCCATAACGGTCCTCCGTCAGCAGCTCGAGGGTGCCTGGGAACCGGTCCAGACGCAGTATTCGCGATCTGGGCCACTAATCGCGCGAAGGATGGAAGCCATGCTCAACATGTATGCTTCAATTTTTGTGCATCACACGTACAAGGGATTCGGTTGTTTCGACGGCGAGCCGAAGGTGCCTTTGTTAGCCTGGAAGTCAGTGTCATATACGATTCATGCGACAGAGTTCCTGTTGCGCGATCTGGACAAGCCACTGCTGGGCGCCATGACCTCCCGACAAAACGACTGTCTCGAGAACCTCGTGCGAGTATCAACCCTTCTGGGTTCGAGTTACTCGAACCGCGCAAACCTTTGGGCGCATCGCGAAAACATCAAAATGTATGCGGCGTCATTGCTGACACTGTTGATAGAGGCACCGTCCACTGGACCCAGCATTTTCGACATCGATCCGTTCGGCGTATTAGTACCGCTCATTAACACGCTGCCGAGCATCTTTCACACGAAGGCGCACGAGGCGGCTCCAAATCCAACGCCTATCATTACGGGCGACGTGTTTGATTCGCATGTGCTCAAGCTTGTGTTTCTGTCCCATATAGCAAAAATCCTGTACACCTCCGACTTCACCGATGCGATGGAACTCGACAGCCACGAGACGGAGGACGATGAAAACGGAGAGGACGAGAATGTCGTCGAGAGCAAAATGGATTTTGCCCTGTTCCATATTTTAGGTGTGCACTATGACAAACCGAGAGCCAGCGACGTATGGCGACGAGTGGAGGCCGCCTGTCGACCCTTCCTCCGATGTTGCGCTATCTACTTCCATTACGTGACCGACGTGCCGCCGCCAAGCGAATTGACGCAGGTGCGCGGCGACACGTACGAGAAGCTCTGTCAGTACCTGGGACTGCCCACTACCTGCGACGCTTTAATCTACTCCCATCTGGAGGTCGCCCTAAAGCTGATGGCCGTGTGGCGGAGACACCCTACCGTCTGGAATCACATGTCGGGCGAGAGAAAGGTGTCAATTATCAAGGACCCGTTGAAGGTCAACAAGCTAATAGATCTGCCGGACGATTATAGCGAGCTCATCAACTCGATGTCTCAGTTCACCTGTCCGAACAGCGATCGGGAAGACTCGCGTAATCCGACGATGTGTCTAGTCTGCGGGGAGATGCTCTGCTCGCAGAGCTACTGCTGCCAGATTGAGCACAACAAGACTATGGTAGGTGCGTGCACGTTCCACGCGAACAAGTGCGGCTTCGGCGTCGGTATGTTTCTGCGGGTACGCGAATGCGAGATCCTATTGTTACGCCCTCCTAATCGCGGTGCCTTCGTCTGCCCGCCGTATCTCGACGAGTACGGTGAGACGGATCAGGGATTGCGGCGCGGTAACCCATTGCATCTCTGCCACGAGAAGTACCAACGACTGCACCATATGTGGCTCGGTCATGGAATCCACGAGTCCGTCACCCGAGCATTTGAACAGTCCTCGAACAACCTGATGCCGACCCAGTGGCAACATCTGTAACTCCGTGGGATCCCTGCTATGATGCAGATCTGACGTTTAGACAAGGAAAAAAGAAAGGAAAAAAAAATGTGAGAAAAGATTTGATTTTTACGCTTAAGCGAAGCTGTAGCAGCCTAAGTATTGATTGTTGATCGTCCACAATTCGATCCGCGTTTACAACGAGATCGATGAAATTAATTTATTCGGTGCTCGCACACGAAGATACGGCTTTGTACATTTAAAAACGATAATTATATATGTTATTCCCTTTTCATATATGTCACCCCGCCCTGCCTCCCTTCGCGTGGCAACCGCCGTTTTTACAGTTTATCGATATTGTGGTTTCGAAGTTTACAAAATTTCTATTTTTAGATTGTTTCGAAGTTAATGAAATTTCTATATTATCCGTTACGTAAATTATTATATGGCTCTGTTCGCATATTTATTAAAAATATTACGAAGGTTGTTGCATACGTGTTTTGTTGCTTGTAGATGCGAGTTCGTGATTAACATGACGCTCCAGTACTCGACCGATCGTCACGAATTGTTTTATTTGCGAAAATCGGAATTTTTCTGCGTGTACAAACGACGGAGCCTGCGCTCTAGATCACTACGAAGACCTAGAACAATGAGTGAAAGGGCGATTTACCATTCATCTACATTAGCACGATGCAATTAGCGATCATGCTGCAACGGTATTGCGATTTTTATAGTTAACAATCGCGAATTATTCTAGGTCGACGAGTCTCTTTTTTTTATCCTCCTGCTTTTGCCCCCACTTAACGTTAATTCACGCGTATGGACAGAACATGAAAAGGCAGAAGAGAATACGCGATTATGTTGGATGAAGTAATTTTTAAAGTCTCAATGGTGTGTGAAATAAATGATACGTAACTTAACATTTGTTTCTCTCTCTCTATCTCTCTGTCTCTCGTCGCTAGTCTCTTCTAGATGCTCCTCTGGAAGCGAATGTTAACAAGCCGCTCCGCGACACTGAAGATCCGGCGTCGTACTTGACTCTTCGTTTGTTCAACGCATGCGATTCAGCTGATTCTTACACCTGTAACCGGATATAGAGGATAATTAAGATTAATATTATTAGAGGAAGAAGTGTGTAAATACTGAGATTGTAAGATTCATGGATTGCTCATCTTTCATTTGTGTATACCGCGATTCGCTGCAAGAGGATGACAATTTGTAGCGCGTTATTCTATCAGATCGATCAATCTTTACTTTCTTACATTTCTTTCTCTATCCCTTTAGGCTTAGAGGCCCCGTCTTCGTCGTTTACGAAGCGACACGAATGTCGAAATCGACAGAAAAAATCAATGTGGCGCATTTCGCAGAGGCCAACGAGTCCGCGATGGAAGACAGTACAACGTTTTTGCGTTCATCGTTACACCCGGATTGCTTAAACGAAATTACAATGTCCTGGCACCCGGTGTTTCTAGCAATACGTACGAGTGGTTGTGCCGCTGTATATTAGATAGCTTATTGTAAGGTCGATAATGCAATGATCAATAGCGTTTTGATGATACTCGTGAAGATACGTATATATTATATACGAGTTGCATAATTGTATTTGTTATGGACAACATTAATACATTGATGCGGACGTTGTCACACGTCGTTAATTGTACATTGATTTAGGTGTATTTGTACTAAAACTCGCAGAATGCGAGGTGATGATTTCGGAATATAAATATAAATTCGAACGCTGGATCTTGGAAGATCTTATTGTTAGTAGATAGACGTGTTCTCTATAGTAGGTATCCTTTCGAATTCTCAAGCGCAGCAGGATTGTTTGTATTAATTCTTACTTGAAAGTTCTGATATCGCTAAATAGTCCGTAAAGAATAAGGACTTATCTCATGTGCGCTCTCAGCTATCGAGGATGATATTAATCGAAATGGCATGATAGGTGTACGATCGCCACTTACGAAACATTACACATTTGTTTTTTCCCTGGTCGATTATTTTTTCAAACATTGTTTGCGAGACGAGAATGTAAGATGCATCACATGACAAAAGATTGATTTATACAAACTCACGTTATTTATATTCTTCAGAATTCAATAAATTAATCTTGGAGAGAAAAAGAGGATATTTTATCGTTGATAAGGAGTCTATTATTTAATATAATTTATATAATTATATTTTCTTTGGAAAGAAAAAAATTATATCTTGAAAACTTGATGTTCTTGTTTTTCTTAAAATGACCTTCGATCAAACTCCGATAAAGTTAATCAACGACTAGCTCATCAATTAGCTACGGTGTTTTCCTACGATAGAATTATCGACTTCTTGCTGTTTGACATGAGAAAAAAG